TTGAAACCAGATGGAACTGAGAAAACACACACTTTTCACTTTTCATTACGTTCTCATTTGGTGAAAGTCCTTTAGATATAATGTCCCATTCTTTTGAAGATGAGTCGTTACACAAGTGCCTGCAATACATTTTCTTAATGAAATTCATGAGAGTGCCCATCGTGTGTAAGAAACCTGGCCACGTATCAACAGCCACGTCAAACAACTTTATGAAAAACACCCAATGACTCAGACCAAAGTTCATTCTCCTTATTTACTAAATCAAAGGCCTGGACATGCAGAGGAACGTACCATTGGAGCTTCTCTGGAATAGAAGCTGAAACCCCTCCATGTGTATGCTTGTGCACATTCAGCCACAGTCCCTCAGGGCCAGGAAGATGGTTTGGCAAGGGGATCACGGGGAACAGGTCAACATGAGGAGCGGGGGAAGGCAAGGCAGGCGGAAGAGTCAAAAGCAACCCGGAGAAGTCTTTGAATCCAGTGGAATTCCTCTCCTCCTCCGCGGCTCCTCTGGGAGGCGTCAGGAGCCTGTGGAGAGAGCGAGGTAAGACGGGGACTGTCAGGAACAAAGCTTCAAATTCACATGATATGTTTAGCTAAAAGGGTGAAAGAGAAATGAATCAAAGCTTGGCGGGATCAAAGAAACGCAACAATAAAGTCAAGGCGGTTGCCATGGGACCAGCAGGAGATGCATATCATTTATAAGTTGTTCTCCGGCTCTGTCAGATGTGGAGGGAATTGATTGTTATTGTTTGGAGGATGAACTGCTGCTGGAGGGGGTTAGGAGCAAGGGTCATCATCGCACAGTGAGAGGAAGATATCTCCTCACTTGTTTTAAACAGCAGCCGCCTGTGATCCGTGTCAGAGGCCGCAGCGGAAGCACCTTGAACTCGTGATAACAAACATCAAGACAGACGCAAAGACACTTTTGTCAACCCCATAAATATCTTATCGGCACACACCATTGATAGGCTAAACATTTGTTTTGCATCTTACACTGTCAGAGGTTATGATCACTGTCATTGTTTGAATGTGAAATCAAATAGACTTAAGCTGTTAACGGGAGACTTTCATTTCCATTCATGCAGTCTAAATTTCAAACGCATAACTGTGATAGGAATATGCTGGTTGTTTTTCTTCCATTTTTTTTTATTCTTTAAAAGGGTAAGATTAGCTTAAAGCAATAACAATCATTTTGGTTTCATGCACCAAGATTGTTTTAATATCCTGGCGCTGAACTACCACAATGGGGTAGAATGAAATGTTGTATTTATGCTTCAATTATTAAAATCTTGAGTCATGGTAACGACACCCAAGTAACGTAAAGACCCGTGAACTTAAGGGTGGTGAACGTAACTATAAACAACAAAATCAGTAAAAGTCCAGCCAGGGACCATGCTTATAAAATACCACAAAACCTAGGCAGATAATAAAAAATATTTAAAGTACTTTTACCGCAAAGTATGTGTTAGCTGAGGCCTCAGGTTAAGTTGACAACATAATAGTAGCTTATCTTATAAAAAATGTAATAAATCAGATTTGACTACAAAACAACAAGCCTTACTTTTGTACTCACTTAACATTTTTTATTTTAAGACTAAAAAAGAAAGAATCAACCCAATGAAAAACAAGTTAAAATGATCATAAAGTGAGTGACACGGATAAGGGAAATCATAATTTGACTTACTTATTTTTATTTTGACTAATTTATCATGTTTTTCTTTCTTTTTAATGGCAGAAATTGTCTTTCATACATATTATATTAGAGAATGTGGAACAAATAATTCTTCTGTTGTGAAATATTCTTATTATGTCTTCATTACTGACAATTAATGGATTCTCCATGTGTACACCTCCAGAAAAGCAGCCAATTTGATTGACATGACAGTGAGCATGTCATTATTTTTTTTTTGTATATGCAGGTGCCTGGCTGTGTGCATTTCTGCCTAATGTGTGTGTGTGTGTGTGTGTGTGTGTGTGTGTGTGTGTGTGTGTGTGTGTGTGTGTGTGTGTGTGTGTGTGTGTGTGTGTGTGTGTGTGTGTGTGTGTGTTCGTGCAAAGATGAGACCCGTCTGTCTGCTGCTCTCTCAGATTGCACCCATGAGAGCTCCCAAAATAACAACAAAGAGCACTCAGTGGGTCGGATGAAAGCCCTGTCACCAACCATTTCTGCACACAGAGTCTCCGCCCCTACTGTATCTCTGAGTGACACCTCACACATCACATGGAGACAGGAAGGGGAGACAGTACCTTGTATTTGACCGCCACAAATGTTTCCATATGTTAATGAGATTGTTGTTAGCTTTTAGCAGGGGGCAAGTGGGTTCTGATTGTGAGCTAAATGGTGACGTTTTCGCTATTACACTGTGAGCGATATGATATACACGTAGTAATTATGTTCTAGTTTTTTGTTTGTTTAAAGTATTAGTTAAACACATTGGGAAATACCCTTATCCGCTTCCCCTCCAAACAAATACAACCACATATCACCAGTGGTGAAGTAAATAGGTACATTCAGTCAAGTATAATCTTGAGGGGTTTACTTTACTTGAGTATTTACATTTTTTGTTACTTTGTACTTCTACCCAACTACAATTAGGAGGTATATTGTGTACTTTTACTCCACTACATTTATTTGATACCTTTAGTTACTTTACAGATTTGGAATAATGATGTGAAATATAATAAACTCTTAAATAAGACTTTAGTTGCACCTGGAGTACATTTCACAAGCTAACCTGCAGCATACAAAGTAATTCAGACTAACTGCACCTTTACCAGCTTTGATAACACTTAAATGCATCAATAATTATGATCAAAACATGATACACATTGTTCTGAAATGGGCCAATCTATGAGTACTTTTTTTACTTGTACTTTTACTTGAGTAACATTTGATTGCAGGACTTTTACTTGTAACATAGCATTCCCACACTCTTGTTATTCTACTTTAAATTAAAATACAAGATCTGACTTCTTCCACCTCTGAATACCACTCTTCCCTAAGCTAAAGTCAGGAAGGAGTTAGCTTAGCTTAGCTAGAAACTGGAAACAGCTAGCATGGCTCTTTCTAAAGTTCCAAATGATGCCTATGAACACCTCTCCAGTGTAATATCTTGTTTTAGTAGTTCATACACAAACATAAATGTAAAAGGTTGTGTTTTTTACATACTGTACCTCCAGCAGTCCTTGGGTCACCATGAGGTTTCCATGTAGGCTAACTAGCAGGGAGTTTCCAGGGAGTCTCAGTACTGATAATCCTCAAGAAATACTTCTAGCACGAAGGCCTGACTCCTTTTAAAACCTCAACTTGTTGTTTAATATGTATGTTTGTGGACTGGTTAGCACAAAAAAAAATTAGTGAGCGTTAGAACTGCGTGTAATTGGCGTGTTTTTTTTAATGTTGTACAGAGCAATGCTAAGCTACAGTTAGCTACTCAATTTCTACTGATTAGCATATGGCACAGTTGGTAGGCTATCAATTGTTCTTCTAACTCCCAGGAAGAATCTGGATCTATTGGGATCATTTAAACAAATTAAAATCAAAACGTTTAAATCAGGCATATAGAAAAAGCACTACTTTCACATAGTCCCAACCAGCAGTTAAATCTACAGAGAAAACCCAAATCTGCTACTGATGTCAGGCCAGAAAAGTACAAACGGCAGCGAAGGACTCCATTGTTATTTCTAACTGGTAGAAGCCCCGAGGTTATTTTTCCTCTGCCTTGAAACAAATCAATGAAGCACGACTCACTTTGAACAATTTCACATTTGCTGAAATCAGATGTGGGTTGAGGAGCCAGCCATCATCGAGCTTATTCTGTTTGTTGACAGAGGAGGAGGACTTTGAAAAACAAGCCTGTTCTTTGAAACAGGTGCCCAAGCATGAGTTCAGTTTTGAGAAACACATTTTAAAAAACGGAGTGATTAGAGAGTTAGAGAGTGTTTGTTGTTCTGCTTGCGACCATTTGGATTCTGTGTATCCTTCACAAAGTCACAGAGATGCTTTCGGTATACACAAAGATACTTTATATTGTTTAATTAAAAGTCTGATATGGCTATCTGCAACATTTCAAATACCTCAGTATTTCCTGTCAATTTGATAATAGTGTCAACAGCCAATATAACTTGCTAAAATCAGCCTCTTGTGGAGTTTCTTTTAGCCAATGTGGCCCCCAAGTGGTTACACTAGAAGTTACACAAAACTTACAAGTTTACACCACAAGGCAAGCCATATATTAAATTCCATTAAACTGTGCCCCCATAATTGTTCAGGCTTTGATTACATCATTCTTATTTAATGTATAGCCTCCTTTCTCAACTGTATAACTGAACTTGTGACTTTTCCATGATGTGTTCTCACTGACTGTTACCATTGAACATAACATGCAGTCCACTCAGTTCACAAACCCAGCTTATCCCCACTATCAACATATGGAAGTGTTTTCAAATCGCTATCTACTAGCAGCAAATGGTTTTAAATCAGTCATTTTAATATCAAAGCACTTAACACTAGAATGATGATTACTTGCAGGTGCATATCCATGCTGCTTGTCAAGACTGCATTTGAAGAAAATGACTGAGCTCTTATCCGACACGTACAGTACTGCCAGTGTTCAATAGGCAAGATCACATTACAGAAGATTACTTTGGAGTTTCAGCAATTTTCCCAAATTACACTGGCCTTTGGTCTCTGGTAAACTTGATTGACTTGAATGGTTTTCATTAGAAGAGCCTTGCAAAGGCTTTGGAGTTGATACTTGTACACAAAAGTCAAGGCGTTTGAGGGTGAATGGGTGCAGATGGGACACTGGAAGTGAACGGTTATGCAGATCCTTTCATGGAAATGCTTCATCATGTTTTAAGGGAACAAGAGACTCAGTTGTTTGATTTGTCACGCTAGTCTGTGTTTCACCAGCTTGACGTTCTCCTGATACACAACAATCTGGTGTCCTAAAAAATAACTGATCAGTAATGCAATGTGTATGAAGTACCAGATTTATTGAATCAATACAAACTTTCACAATCATTGTGGCAGGAAAGTATTGCAATATATTATGTTTTGATGCATTCAATGTGTGTAAAGAATAAAATAAACCGTATGTGATTTACACTGTCATATTTGAACTTAGGTCCACCCTCCCCCTGTCTCTCCTCATCAAAAGAAGAAAATCTGAGTAATGGCAATCAATTAGATGTCACAAAGAGCATGAGCCCAGACTGACAAGAAAATAGCCATGAATAACATGACCACCCTTATTACCCTTCTAAGAAAATACTGAAGAGAGGGATCCAAAATGAAAAGTAGTCCGGATACACTTTCTGTGTCACAAAGAATAAGATTTATTTCTTCTGGCCAGATATATTCCCACACTCCCATCAGCTGTTTGGCTGCTTTAAAACACATGCAGTATATCGGTGAGGAATTAAGGCATGCTGAAATATGTTTCTATGCACACATTAATTCCATAGCTTGGAAACATTAAGTTAATTTTGAAAGCGTACTTTCACTTAATGTGCAAACTATCTCCATACACATTCACTGGAAATAATTAAACTGTAACTCTTTGCTGGAGAGATCTGCAGGTTTGCGCTGCCATCTTGAGGAGATTTACTGACAGAGCAAGGTTTTACAGCACTGTCCATTTCTTTTAACTGCAAAATAAATATTTGGGTTTCTTTTAAAAGTATCAAATATCACTTAGCTGTGTAAGTTAAGATGTGACAAGCAAAGTATTTTCTCTGCAGCTTTAATTTGGGGAAGATTAGCGTCAGAGAATAGGTGGTCGGAGTTTGATCATTCTTTGCAAAAAAGGGCAATTATGATCAAACAGACCAAATGTGGCAATAATGTACACTGTGTTTAAATAGTGCATACAAGAGCAAGATGAATGCTGCACATGTACTTCAGAGAATGGTCTGACGTGACTCCATTGAAGAAGGCTTGGGTTGGTAATCACTGGAAATCTGCCTCCTATAAAGTTGATGTAAACATGAAGTCATGTCCACAGGGGAGACGCATAATCTGTACAAATGCCATCCTACTTAGGCGTTAATGCTGCTTACATTTTTGTTATTTCTTCCGTAACTCTCATTGCCTCCATATTACATCATCATAATATGACACTTCAGAGTTTTTAAGAGGCAGGATGAACTCTCTAGCCACATTCGTCATCCAGCGGACCACAGTGTGAATGTTTTTGGAATGAGGAATCTACACAGAGTTTACAGAAAGATACTTTTATGTTTAGCTGTAAAAAGTACAGGCAACAATAAAAAGACAATACTATATAATCAACATAAATAATAAATGAACTACCCTTCATTATATACAATTATTCAAATTAAACCCTTATGAATAAGTACTTGTACTATTTAATCATTTAAACAATCTGAAAGTGGTTATCTTGCATTATGAATACTTTTCATTTTGGTGATTAGTTACATTTTCCTGGTAATGCTTTGCATTATCTATTTTACTCCTACCTTTACAAAGGCTCTTATCATTTGTGAAAAACTAAACAATGAAAAACATGATCATTAGTGTGCATTATTCAAATGCTAAATTTGAATCCCATAAAATCATCAAGGAAGTACATAGTAGAGTGAACAACTTGCCTGTCCCCAAATCAGAGTTTACAGAGAGTCTGAGTACTGGTTATCTGTCCCTAAGGTCCAAAAAAATTATAATTACGGACCTTAGAGCACAAGAAAATGATTTATAAAACATATCTCTGTTATGGTCCAATACCTAAATAATTAACTGATATTTGGTCCGTCACGCTTTGATGCAGAGCATAGCATCCAGGAGGTTTCCTGTATATCTGACATGTGCCGTCATGAAGCCGTGGCTCTTCAAAAGCAGACTGTATTCGGTGGCGCTCCTCTGTTTCCCCTCGCCCATGCCGAGGGCCTGGAGCAGCCCGCGACTAGGGCCCTTTCTGTCTTCATCCAGGAAGATCTCACTCAGCAGGAGCCCGCAGCCTGGCAGCATAGAGCAAGTGCATGATGTGTAAGTAGATGTACAACTTTATAAAAGTAGGTGGTTGTTTTGTAATCCCTGGCCCCCCTTGCATTCATTTGCTTTAGGAAAAGACTAAAGGTCAAGAAGGTAAACAAAAGTGGCGATAGTAAGTATTTTGGCTTGGCTATGAAATCGACCTGCCTTTTTGCTAAATGTCACAGATTTGTTATCAGTTCAACCCTGACAAAAGCAGGTTACAGCAGCAGCAGTTCCACAGACGCTGCAGGTTATTGAAACCAAAGTGAACTGTAGACGATCTTAGATATGACCTTATCAGAATGTGGGCGTCATCCTGCTGTAAGTTTCACATGAGATTTCCCATGACTGAGAATGTTATACTAATCATAAATAAAGTAATGTTATCAGTCAAGTATGGAGTACAAAACTGTAAGAGTTTTACCTGGTGTGCAAGCATCCGCGATTTTGCTCAGCAGAATATCCAGTTTCTCATCGGAGCAGTCGTGGAGAATTCTTGCCAGGATGTACAAGTCTGCTTTCGGCAAATCATCTTTAAAGAAGTCTCCTGTTGATACAGAGGAGCCATAATACATAAATTAGGACCATAGAGAGAGTGAGATTATAACTTTGATATTTGAGACCCACAGAATAAGCTGCATTAGTCAGAGAGTTTATTTGAATGATGATACGCAAACTGACCTGCTACAAATGACACCCTGTTGTCTGTGTGCAGAGGTTGGAAATGTTCCCTCAGCTGAACAACTGTTGGCAAGTCAAAAACTGTCACAGACAATCCAGGATGGGCTTTAGTGAACTCGTCGGCCATGGCCCCAGTGCATCCTGGAAAAAACAAAATTATGTTTTGTAAAGGAATGGTTTATTACTCAAAGACACCATTTTAAACCTTAAGTGTCTCTCCTTACCTCCAAGGTCGCAGGCAGTTCTAAAACTTGAGAGGTCAAAGGCTGTTGCTATAGCTTTCCCTGTAACTTTAGCAATGTTGTGCATGGCATTCATGAATCTCAGTTTGCTGTCTTGGCTGCTGCGGAGAGTGTCCTTTAAATAGAAACAAATGACATAGTGGAACAACAAAAATAGAATCTGTAAAGGGTGTCTCTCCCCACATTTTATCCATCTGAACATAGAGATAATCACCTGGTCCTTGGATGTCTGGCTTAAAGCCTTGTCACGCTGGCTGACTCCCTCCAGTACGCCACTCTCAAGGTGGGAGAAAATAGGCCACACTGTGTCGTTATAATGCAGAATTTGGCTCCGCAGCGAAAAAGGAGCATCCGACAGCAAAAAGCGAGTGGACAGATCCGTGTTCTCGTACACTGGAGTGGAGACACAATAAAACATGAGGCTTGTTTTAAGTTAAGTACTAATCTCTGTCTCTTTAAATAACCATCATCGTATCTGACTAACTTCTCTCTTTGCTCCTCAGCAGACCCAGAGACACACATGCCTCCAGCAGGCATTCAGTGCCCTTCAGGGAGGCTTTGATCTCCTGGGCCACCTGTGCTGCCTCCAGCCCCCCCGGCCTGCTGTGCAGCACGTCAAACACACACATCTTGGATGCCGTAAACAGTGCCTGGATTTTTGGAAACGGAAGAATAGACACAGAAGCAAAGTGTGACTTTATTTTCTGAATCGGATTGTGAATTCAAGATTGTTTTATACTTGTAGATTGTGAAAAAAATATTAAAAAAAGGAACCTTGTGAATACAAAAATGTCCTTATTTTACACTTTTCTTTGGTTTTGATTATATATATATTATTTTTTTATGTATTTGAATGGATAAGAGGTGCTTGATTTGTTTTATATCCATCAACTTAAATTTGTGTATCAAGGCTGTGGCTTAATACTATAAATACATATATGAACGTTGTATTAACTACTTTATCTAACTCTCAGCAAGAGAGCAAATCAGGATTATTCTTTAAGTAGAGCTAAATGCTTCATTACATCCTCTATAAGTAAACACAACAATGACTTACATTAATATTTCAATATGAAAAATATCCTTTATCAACATATGAATACCAGGTCTATTCCCAATTACCTTTGAGGCTCTAAATCCATCCAATAAATCACAGATTCGCTGCAAGTCTTCTTTTTTTGGTTCACCGTCCTCAGGCTCCGTCACATTGAGCTCCTTTACCTGCCCTCTGCTGGTCATCAGTGGTAATGTTGTATTCGCAGAATCTTTGTCACCGGTATGTTTGGACAGGCGGTTGACCAACGTCATGGAACTCTCATTCAATTCAGTTTCACTGCTTTTCCTCTTCACCTATAAAGGGGAGACTGTTACTTATACATAAAAGACAAAAGAGTTAGCAGGTTGTGCTTATAGGGCGAGAAAAAGAACCTTATGCACAGGACTGGCTGACGGGCTGCTCTGGATGTGGTGTGTATGGTTGGCAGATGAAGGCTGAGTGAGATTCGAGATAGCGTGATTGCCGTTGTGGCTCAGCCAGACTGTTGAATTTTCTTGGTCCGAGGAGGAAGTAGAGGAGTTGTAAATAAGGTCCAACTGCTTGCAGAAGTGGTTGAGGGGGAAACCCACAACATTGAGGAAGTCTCCATGAACGTACTCTACAAACATCCCACCGAGAGCCTGAATACCGTAGCCTCCAGCCTTGTCCCTGACACACACAGAATCATGTCATTATAAAGCAACATGAACACACAAAATGTACACATACACAAATAGGTTGTTGTGAAATGACAGGACTATTTTTCTTAGCGGATGCATGTCAATTTAAATAAATACATACAACTATTTTTTAAATCAATAAAATCATTTTCTAAAGCCTTAAAAGCATTTCAATTAATATTGGAAGTCATGTCATTACTTTGTTGAGAATGTGGCCGTGTAATAAGCGGGAT